CAGCAGTTAATGTATGCATTTCACAATACACTATAGTGTATTTCAATGTAGTGCACATGATTTATATTTCAGAAAAGAGCATATCCGCTATGAAAAACTGGTATTTCATTCATAGGGTACTCTACCTTGAAATACGGGGGAGGTTCAATTTTATAATGGACGGTTTGAACTGTGTCATATGGCTGTAAGATTTTCTTGTACATTCCCCAATATGAATTAAGAAACAGCAGCTCAAAACATTAATCTGTGTGGTTCTACATCAAGAGGAGAGCAGGGCACTGGTTTCCAAAGTTCGTTCTTAAATGAGAACGAAGGCGTAGACAAGGCGATGGAGCTAGGCTGTGTGTGATGGCCAAATGAAAGAAAAAGTTCTGCACAGACGAACACCGCTGGCTCCTGCTTCGCCACTCTCTGCATGCCAGTGTTCAGCTGCCACAAATCACTCAGCTCCCATTTACATGAGTTGAGGCTCTGGCATCAGCTTTATTTTTAAAATTTGCAAACTCCCCGTGTCCCATTGACCCACTCTTTGCTTACAGAATTTTTCCTGGGTGTCTCCTGGTATATGTACGTGCTGATACCATGTACGGTCTTTCTTCGCTAGCAGGCAAAGAAACTCTCTCACGATGTCTTCTCTATATATGCCATAAGTAAGACGAGCTGTTTGTTCAGTAGTAAATTACAGGTGTTACTTTCCTGGGCACCTACTGAAGCATAATTCCAATTAATCTGTCAGTATAGTTTCTATTTTCTTTTCTAGGCCATTCTAGTTTTCTGCATACCTACCTACATATTGTGCCTTTTGATCATTTGGCTGCCTTGGCTTTGTAATCTCAAAAGCAGAGATTCTTTTATCAACATAGAAATGCTGTTCATTTAACAGCAACTTGGAATATTATATATTCCATCAATAAAAGACACTATTTTAAGTCATTGAAAAAAATTTAGGTGAGTCAGAAAATTATGGGGGTTTAAAATAATTTTAAGTTCAATTTATTTACATTTAAAGTATGGCATCATTTTGAAACTACAATTTGAGATATTTCATTTAAAAAGGACTGATCAACTCAGAACTATATTTTGCATCAAATACATCCATATAAATTCTTTTCCTCTCTATTTTATAGAAGTAGCATAAGTGTTTAAACCAACATAAATGCAGAACAACTCCACTTTACTGGGGTCATCCCAGTTTTACTGAGAATAGAATTCTCTCTTCCCACTTCTTTTGGGTTTTGTATTGCCATTTTTCATGTAAGAGCTGTCATGTAACATGTGATGTGATGTGACATAAAGCAAAAAAGAAGGGCTATATGAATATGCAGTTGTGGATTTTTTTTTTTTTTTTTTCTCCATTGCCAGATTTGGAGAGGGGTCTTTTTGTGGCCGGCTGTATCCAGTGCCATTGTTCAGCTGACTGATCACCAGTAGTGGCTGCACTCCTGTCTAATGGGCTGTATTTGTAATTTAACTTCAGGATAGGTATGTGTGTGATGCCTACGACTGCAGAAGTCACAACTCTAAAAAATTCCCCACATCCAGCCACTGAGCCACCTAAGAACTTCATTGCAGAACTTCACGACCAGGCTGACAAATGCTGCACCAAGCTAAGGCTTTACCACCCTACAGTAAATAGACCACAGACCCTCGTTCCATGCCAGTTTCTACTCCAGAGTGTATTTTACACACGCTCAGACAAACACGAGAATGGAAGTATTTCTGGTCCAACACAAACAGCCCTGGAACCCTGCTTTTGTAACTGTCTTCTCTTCAGCAGCAACATCTGAAAGCACCAGGGGTTTGCAAGCTGCGTGGCAAGTAAATGTTGAAAAAAACCTGAGGTCTCCTTCTAGCAATGTCCACCCTGCACGCAGGACTGTCCTTCCTCCACACACTAGTGTGCATCCTGAACATACAGCTGCTTGTAGGTACTATGGGTAACGCAGGATTAGGCCTTGGGTATAAGTTGAGGGACACAACAATGCGCCAGTAGAGAGGCACCCTAACTTAGCGATCCTCAGTCTTCCCAGCCATAGCCCTTGAAGGGAAATCTGCTGAACAAGTCGGTCAAGCTTTGACTTCTGTTGCCTGTTAGTGAGTAAGAGCAGCTGAGCACAACCGTAAGTCCCTTGGCGTGCTTATGTGGCACTGGCTAGGGATGGAGCTCAGCATCTGCTCGTGTACTTAGCAGCACTGGGGCCAACGTCAAGAAATGGACCATGGAGTCCAGTACGCTGCTGTGAGAGCATAGTTTCACTGGTACGCATTAATGAAATCAGCTGTGCTCTTGCCCTCTGCAACTATGATCAGCAAGTGGTTTCCTCTGATTTCAAGGCAAAACTTATTTGTGGTTGATGGATACTCATTTACTTCTGTGCAAACAATCAGCTTGGTTTATGGCTGGGCCAAATGCAAAACAACATGTTGGGAAGAGATGTTAAACTCTAAAAAGGGGGGGTATGTTGTTAGTAATAAGGATCATAGTAGAAATTAGTATTTCCTTGTGAGGTCTGGATCATTTAAAGAAGGGAGAACATTTGTTAAACAACCCAAGATTTCATTTGACGCACAAGTAAGTGCTGCATCCCTTATGAAACAGAAGCAGCTCTGTGGTCTATTATTTTATCTACTTAAAATTAGATTATAACAGATGCCATCCCCTCACTATGCAGTTCAGTGCCAGCAAACATAAGTCTCTAATCACTTATATAAGCCTGGTGTCCTCGCTTTCTTGGCTCACAATTAAAATTCTCGTATTTTGCAGCAGTTATATTAAACATGGTCCCAGTTGTGGATTAGGATCCAAATGCATAATTTCCCATAGTTAAGGTTGTCTGGTCTGCTCTAATATCACAACTGAATTATAAAACTCAATTGGGATCTTGTGTTTATGGCACAGGAGCCATCACAAGAACATGTGCTTTACTGTTTTTGTTAAGCATTATGTAGATGCAGGGTTTTTTTCTAACTGTATTTTTCAACTTATTTCATCCTTCAGTAAAAAAAAAAAATACATGTAATGCCTATGAAATGGCAGCTTTGAATCTCTGTCATGTTTTCTGTGTTAAAATTGGGAATAGTCACTTTATAAATGCACCCAGTGTGTCTTTTCTTTCCTTCTTCCTTTTTTTAATGAAACATGGTGTAAAGTTTTTGTCTTTAACGGCGTTATGGTCAGAGATGTTTTAGACAAGGTCTGGGGCATTAGCCGTTGCACATGGACTTCGTCTTCCTGCTAAACTCTACCATCAGTGTGTTAATTAGTACAGAGTAACAGTGTCTCCAAGCCTTCGCTTATTTGCTAGGAAATTTCCTTCCTATTCTGTGCATTGCAATGCCACATCTGACTTTCTCATTCTGATAATAACGTGTTTTGTCAACCAAGCTGCTGTTTCAGCAAAGCGTTTTCCTTTGAAGTATGTGCTGTTTTGTTGCAGGTTACTTTTTCATGTTAGCAATGACAAAAGTAAACCCAGGGCTACTCCTTGGTTTTTATTTTCCAGGGTTTATTATTGTATTTACAGTTCCCTGTAAGCAGATTCAACCCTTTCCCAGTAAGAGTTCTAATACCTTTCTATGTTTCAAATACTAACGACCCATATACCCACACAGAAAGGAGAAAGATAATCAGTGATGAAGAAGGTATCTCTAGGGGCTGATGCAGACGAATAGAAAACTTAAATCATTATAAATATTACTGTACTACACTTTGGTACGACCGGAAAAAAAAAAACCTTCAAAGAAAATATTTAATGTTCCCTAAGTCAAATAAAATTCATAAACAATAGGAAAAGAAATTAACCACATGGGGGTTTTTGTATCTGTAAAAAATAGTAAGACTACTTGGCTGCATTGCACATAGGCAATAAAATTAGATTCATTCAGATCCTTTTTAACGTAAGCCTCGTTTCAGGCTGTAAGCAAGAAATGTCCACTGTGCTTTACAAAGGACGACGACTAGAAAAATCAATGCAAACAGATATCCCTTTCTTTTCTGATTTACCATTTATCATGAGAGATGACAAACAAATGAAGTCTCCTCTGAGTCTGAGCGTAGTTGTATTAGCATTTTGCTAGTACCAGGCAGTATACAAAAACAGCCATCGCGTGTGACACCTCCAACACCTACAGGTAGCTGTTTTAGGGGCACATCCTGGTTTGTGGTGAAACAGGTTTAACTCAGCCAGCCTCTTGTACCTGCTCAGTGATATCAGGTTATCATCTCAGTAACTCCAAGGTTGGACTGTCTTGTTCCTATTGCTGACTGGACTGACTGCTCCACCATCCATAAACAGAAGGCATAAAGGTGATTACAAACATAAGAAAGTAGTTTTACATATTGTCTTGCAGTCTTTCCATATAGTCCCTAAGTTCCTTGGAATCACCAAGATTCATATCTTGGCATACCCATTTAATATTATCATCACTGTCAAATAGAATTGAGTTGGTGTAGGGGCCTCCATCCTCCGGCAGTATTGTTGTATATGAAGTGAACTTTACTCGCTTCTGCTTTGGCCCAGAAGGATTTATAGGTTCACTTTTAACTTCTTTTTCACAAAGGTACTCAGAAGATCTGAGGATATGATTATGAAGAGTCTTCTGGGAGCTCCCATTAAGGAGAAAGTTGCTTTCTTCAAACTGCATTCCTCTGTCAATCATGGTAGTGCACTCCTCTGATGGGAGCGAAATGTCAACTGGGTTTTCCAGCAGTTCAACCTCATTTCCAAGCCAGACCCAATCATGGGAATGGGGGATGTTGCCTTGCTCACTCACAGCAAACCTTTTATGCCTGTACTTCCAAGCAAATGCCACACAGTTAATCAAAAAGACCAAGATTGCTAAGCAGAAAACACACAGCAGGGCATACATGCCGATCTCCAAATCTGTTAATCCTCTTGGAGTCAATGTGAGTTATTTTGGAGCTGGCCATCCTCCAGGGACTCCTGATCAATGGGAGATATGAAAGTTGTGCTTTTGTTTGCATTGTCCTCATGACTGGACATGTCCTCATGGTTTTTGGACCATTCTTGTGCTGTCCTCTCTTGTTCTGCAGGTTTCTCTATAGAATTGCTTGCATGGCTTTTAAAATCTCTATCCACATCATCAATGTCATTAGTGCTTTCTTTTTGGTCAGAATCTTTTTGACCAAACTTCACTTTGACATTTCCTTTCCCAACAGCCAGAATGCTCTTCCGCTTAGTCTTCTGACATGGCTCACTGATGACCATTTCAATTTTAATCAAAGGTCCTTGCCCATCCCCTTCTGCCACTACCCCAGGCCATTTGGACTGAAGGTTTTGGTGTGCAGACACTACCATCTCATCCAGCGACGTGATGGTGATCGAGAAGTCCTTGGAGTCATAGATATCCAGCGGCGTCACTGACCCATCACTGAACAAAATCCAAGCACTGACTATGGCTTCCTGGGGAGGGGAGAGAGGATGAGAAAAAAATGTGTCAAAGGTAGGAGAGCATGTATCAGCCACCTAGTTGTTCAAATCTGTTTGACATTGGCAAAATTAACACACAGTTTAACTTTAGTTTATTTTGTCTTTAAAAAAATGAAAATCAAAATGTCTGTTCTGCTTCTCATTTTTTCTTGCAGATTTGTGTTCTCCAGACCACTTAGGCATTTATCTCATCTTCAGGAACTACCAAAGACAGGGTCATCTAAATTTAATAAAAGGTGCTGACAGAAAGAAAATTGACAAGTCTTTTTTTTGAGTCTGCAGTGAGAAGTCTCTTTTGAATGCCAGGGCCCCATGATGAAAATAATCATATTTCCAAAGTTCTGTTTAATTCGTTTTATAAAGGACCTGTAACGGGGAATTTCCGTAACACTGCAGGTCTAATGCCATATTCAATACAACTCACAGAGCTGTTATGTGTCGGAATGGGGATCCCATTCAGCCCATTGAAACAAAGCAGGTTAAGAACACATCTCAGTGCAATATTTTAAATTTCCTGTCATGCTTTTAAATATACGAGATTATGTGAAATATACAAACGTGATTGCAGTCCTTTCTAGGAACTACAGAAACACAAAAATGCCATCTTTTAAGGATGTTTTGAGCAAACCAGTTTGTCGTGTTACTGCAAGTTCCTAGTGCTAAAAAGGTAGTTACGCTTTCTCTAGTGATAGAGACTTGCAATTCTATAAGAAATACTATAAAAAAGATGCATGCAATTTATTCTGTGGTCTCGTCGAAAACCATTTAATCCCTCAGATTACATGGTTCAAAGTAAGAACAAACTCATCAGATTTCAGCAATGCAGATCATGAAAACTTCCAGACATGCAGCCAAGCGTCCTTTTGGCTGAAGTGACTTTGTGAGACCATGGAGGCATGGGGTTCCTACCTCTGCTCACATAGCTAAAAGTGTTTTGAGGGGCACGTACATGCTTTCTACAGCATTATGCATGCACAAACATGTCCATTGCTTTCACTGTGCTGCACAGGTCTCCAGACAAGTTCTGAAGAGTTTAATGGCCGTTCTGTAGGGGTGTTTGCACCTGTAGGAGTTGGTCAGTGAGATGAACAGCCTTTACTGTGTGAAGTTACTGCTTTGCACAAAGCCATACATTATATGCGCTGTCTGAAATTTATGGCAAGTAGCTTCTCCCTCGCTTCTGACAAAGCACAGTAAACAAATAAATTAATTCTATGAACTGTTTTGGATCATACCTGTTTCGGAGTATGAAGGATATCATATGCAGAGGTGGTAGAAACGATAGCTCTCTTACTTCCTTTGCTGATTTGTAAGGAGAGGGACAAGCCTGAAACTAGTTGTACGCCTAGATCTGTAATGGTTACACGGTCATCTAGAACGATCACTGTCTTCTCTGCCAAGATGGAATCGGAAAGAGGTGACAGAACCTTGAAAGAGAAAGCAAGTGCCTTGCATGAAACAGCAACTGTGTTGTAAAGCAAGATTAGACTCTAATCGGCATAACACTTCAGATTAATCTTGGGTTTGTCACATCCATGTATAAGCTATAATTGATATTTCCCCCAAGACATTACACTCATTTGCTGCTAAATTACGTTATTTACAAAAATAATCTAATAAAACAACCAATCACTTCAAAATTGCAGCTTCATTTCAACAACGGAGTCTAGATTAAATTAAATGGATTTGTTTTTTTAAAAAAAGAAGTAATTTTTGTGTGGTCTATAAAACCTCCCACAAATGCAGCATAGCACAAGACATAGTGTAAGACACTGATTAACGCTGAAACTCAGTAAGGGAATAAATAAGTGTAAAAAGCCGGGCCGATAGGAACTTGGCCTGCCGCCTTTAGAGGGACAGAGGACCTGAATGAAATGAAAGTGAGCTTTGCAAAAGGCCTTTGAAAATCCCACTGGGTGCCTCTCTGCGTTTTTCAGTGCCACAATAGTCCTGTCGGTTTGCTGTAAAACCTCATTTCTAACATGCTCAGAAGGAGTCATCTTTCTACTGATGCCAGAAACAGCTGGTTCAAGCCCAAACTATTTGAGGTGTGATTTGTCTAAGCTAACATGAGCAGTCTACAGCGTAGGTACCCGCATCGGAGCTAGCTGCCTTCTGCTCTTCTGTAGTCACTGGAGCGAGAGACGTGTTCAGGGTGGAAATCCCTTGACCTCTTTGAGATGTTTGCTTTAGGCTGAAAGGAGCTGAGCCCTAAAGTACCTGCTCCTTTGTGTTGATTACAAAGGAAACTCAGAGACTGGAACACTATGGATGTTTGGAGTTAATAAGAGCCCTAGTGCTTGTATTCCTTTGTTTTCATTAAGAACTATGCGTGAAGTTAGACAGAGAGACGGGTGGTGAATATGAAGACTCTGAAAGATTTCTGAAGATTATTTTTGTATATATTTTTTTTGTGTTTCATTTTGTGAATATAAAGGGACTAATTTTTCAAATATGTTTAAGCGTATAAAGATGCACGTAGTTCTTCGGTAAAACTTCCTAACAAGTTCATAAGGTCCCACTTACTTAAATTAAAAGCAGGTAGTTATGTGCACCATGTAACTTGTTTCACCGCTCAGAAAAATCTCACTGTGTTGCCAGTTAGATTAACATGGATAAATCCCTTCAGAAGTTTCATCTAAAGGTATTTTATGGAAGTGACAAATAGCAAAAATGAAAACCCATTCAAACTTCCTTTCATGTTTAGCAAATTTTTTTTTCCAGCTTTTTTCTGAGAGCAATTAATTTTATAAACTAACTAGTTCATGTGTGTGCCTCCAGAACTCTCTCTACGGAAGCTGCAGATGCATCTTAGGCTGTACCTGGACCGTGGTGATGCCATGCTCACGACCTGCCAGAACTCGGCCATCTTGAAGCGTAGCAATCTTGGGTTCTTCTACCTTCATGAAATCAGTCACAAGGTCAGTGATGTCAAACTGCCACTCAGAGCCTAGCATATAGGTCAAGTGGCCTCCAAACTCAGAGGATTCAGCTACAAACTGTGTGAGCACTCGCACCATGGCATGCTGATACTGGAGGGTACAACCTCTTCCTTTTTTCTCATCATCCTCTTCGTCCTCGCTGTCACGGGTAGGCCTGTAAACACATCCAGGTTTGTTATCTGCATGGCCGTGATCTCCCTACAGCACTGCAGAGCTTCAGTTGCATGGCATTTTCAGTTAGATCAATGTTCTCATCGCCTGCTACTGTGTGAGAAATAGGAAAGCACATTTTGCATGTGTAGGTTACTAACTCTGGGTGAGATGCTTGTACAGATTTTTTTGTGCTGTACAATTTAAAAGCTACAGTTGCTTCTGTTAGCAAATTCTTTGTTTGAGTGGGAACCTCCCAGCAACTTGAAAATATGTCTGCCATTGCCGAGATTTCAGTGGAACCACCGCTTGTTCACCGTGTCTCTGAGCGGCAGTCCAGTCTTGCAGAGGGCTAAGGAAAACAGTGTGAAATGTTTATGAGAGGGCAGTTCTGGTACAAACCCCTGCAGCAGCTCAGCAGGGATGGGAGGAGATGTTTGATGTTTTAGCGTCCTTTCCTCCACCTTTGCCCATAACATTTGTATCGCTTTGCTCAGCTCGTCAAAACTATTGTAACACAGTCGGGACTCACTGCTGCCCCACCTTAGCCCACGGCTCTAGGCTCCTTAGCCCTCTGCACTTGAGAAACACACCGTGATTGCACCTCAAACCTCATCCAGGTCATGCAGGTGTCTGCTGTATTTAGTTATGTAATGACCACATGGGGCTTCCACAAAAACCAAGTTAGGTACTTAAGTTACCACTCAGGACATCAGTTACTCGGATGTACAAACGCCACGCCAGACTGTGGAGACCAGCACTCACCCCACAGGAACAACTGCAGCATTAGACACACTTTATTTAACATTTTCTAACTATCTGTGCCCCTTGCAAAATGTAACCCGTGACAATACAACAGCTTTCCATAAACCTTATACGAGGCATCACAGTGATTTGTATGTGATAGCAGTGCTGTCACACCTCACGGAATTTTGTCTGGTTTAAAACCCAGTTTCCAATCATTCTTTTTCTTTCGCTATTGTTTATTCCTTGGGACAAACACATGGATTCTCTTATCTCTTTCAAGTCAGGTATTAAGCACTAGGTGGTCACACTTTTACTCATTATGCCCCCATGCTGTGGAATTCATTGCTCAGAAATAATTTGCCGTCCTCCTTTACTTATTTATTGAGCCTGAAGCCACCTCTATAGCAAGGGTGGGAAATGCGGGGTAAGCCTCTTATTTTTCACAGTATTTTGGGAAGTAGTTTTGTGTTTACTGTGTTCCCTTATCTTCTCCTTTGAAATACCAGCTATGAAAAAACTATTATAAAACAGAATTGCTTTTGTTATAAATTGTTCTATGACAAAGTTGGCAAACAGTAAGCTGAAAACACAGCTAAGAAAAGCCCTTACGCTCTTCAAAATGGTAGAAAGTCCTGGTGTTACAGAATCTAATACACTGCAAATACATTTTCAATGCATCAATTTTTAGCTGAATATATATATATTCGGCCTCAAGTAAACGGTATTTGGTGCAGCCTTTTTGGTTTTGTAAACAACAGTGTCCATCATTAGTCGCTGAATGAAACATCATTGAATAACCACTGAATTGTAAAGAAAAAAACAGAATCCTAAAATAGGATTTACATTACACAGAGAAATTAGTCTTATAGAATTAGACTAGCTGGGTATTTCAGGGAAATATTCAATTGTTCTTTCCTTCCCAACACAAGTGTCAATCTGGACTATGAGCTGAAGCCAGCCAGTCAGCAAAACAGCCGCACGGAAAGTACTAGAAGGGGGATATTCATAGAGCTTACGTGGCCCATGCCTATGTAGATTGCTTTTGGCTTTGTAATGCAATAAAAGAGTTTCTGAACTCCTTAACATTCCCACTTCCAATTTATTCCTGTATTCTGACCCTCTTCATAACCTAGAATTCTGACCCCTAAACCATAACCTAGCTCTGAGTAATCTCAGAATGTTGGGAAAACCAGGTTTAGCTCCAAGATTTTGGGATTTGACCCTCTTTTAGTAATACAGACAGTAACATTAGTACCTGTGCAGAATTGTAGAAGAATGCACAGGAGCTATTCAGACAAGAAGTACTTCTGGGATTTCAGGGAAAAGAGCCACAGGACCAGAGGGAACCAGTTTTCTTATGGGACAAGAGACATAGAACCAGTGTTCTGTGGCTTGAAGAAAAATGTTCACATGTTCAACATTCACGCTGACTTAATTTTTTTTACAGAATTCTGTTTCTGTTACGTAACCAGATGTTTTACTCCACTCCCATGTGTTACTGTTATTCATATTTATTTCTGCACGTACTTACTTATTTCTACTTCTTCCACTGTTTAAAACTTCAGACTACTGGACTGTTCAAGAGGAAATGCAGTCAAAAAACTTTGAGAAAAAGAATTGTTCAACCCTAGTTCCATACAGCCCCGAAATGTGAGTTGTGGGAAGAATGACCGGAGATGAGGAGCGCTGCGTAAGGGCACAGAGGGAGTGCTCCTGCCCTTATTGCCAGGCTTAAGACTCTATGGGCAGCCAGTACTACAAACTACAAACCGAAAAAGGATTATCCATGCCCAACTCTTTTCTTGTGGTATCACTAACAAAAAAAGGTAAGGGCTTCATTTGGTTACAGAAACATTTATAGGTGTTTATACCTGTGTACTTCTCCTTAGAAATATATGGTTTCTATCGTCTGCAAATGTGGAACATCAGAAAAGCATCGCTAAATCATGGAATGGGCAAAGCACTTTCTTATGTCAGTGCAAAGTAAAAAGAGAGGTGTTGGAATTTTCAGTACAAGCTTTGCAAGGCTGGTTTTACCAGGTACCAACTCGAGGTCGTCTTTTTTTTTTTTAAACGACACCCATTTCCACTTCAAAGCCACAAATCCATGATTCTGTTTGTAAGTCAGAGTATTTCAGTGTTCTGTCTCCATGGGCCCAAGAAAATGTTTGAGAACTGTTGAATTGCATAGCTCCCTTTAGAGTCTTAAACTTCTTGTTACAGTGTTTTCAGTAGGCTTAAAAAATCCTTCAATAAGCAGTGAGCTCATTTTCTTTTTAAGACACGTGAATATAAGCTATTGCTGCATATTGTGCTTTTTTGGCCCTTGGTCATGTCCAAGGTTAGCTCTGGGTACCCCTCAGACGCATTCTTATCCTATTTCTTGCTGCTTTGCAAACTTGCTTGGAAGATTTTTTTGCCTTTTGGGAGTGAACCAAGGTTGCCAAAATTACATTTAATTTACATTTCACACAGAGAAAGCTTTTGCCAGAGAGATGAGTTAAAACGCAGCCCTATTACAAGGGTGCCTGCTAGCACTGATCTAATCAGTGATCTGTCAACTTTATATTATAGACACTGTCTGTGAGCAGTTTGAGTATGCCGCTCTTAATTTGTACCACTCGCAAACCAGGCATCAAGTTCTTGGGCCAGATGCTAATTTTCTGTTAAAAAAAACCCTAAAGAAATCAGTTTTGCTGGGTTTGAATTTGAAATACTCATTAAAAAGAGTTCTGTATTTAAAAAAACATTTGCAACACCCCTAATTGAAAAAAAAAAAAAAAGTCTATTTTGGATACAAAATACAAGCCACTAGAAGTTGATGTAGGGGAAGCTACAGAAATAAGTTGCACATAGCTCCACTCACAGTTCAAGAAAAAAATGCAATTTGGTACCTTTACAGAGCTTGAAAATAGTCTACCTATTAACAAAAATCTCTACAGCCTTATCTCCATAGGACATTAAAGTCATTAACTAAATGAGTGAATTTACAGCATGCTCAAGCTTTGTGCGGACGTTGTTACGAACGGAATGGTTTGAATCCAGTTTCGCTGGATTTGCTCTAAAGGACGGCTCTAGTTCTGAGTGGCAGCACTCACACCAAGGTTTAACTAAAGCAGTTTATTTTTTCCTTCATTTAACTTAGCCTAACTTTCCTGCTTTTGTCTCTAGTACTGGCCAGGACCAAAGCAGAGGTACCACCTAATTAACCATTAGTTCAGCCAGCCGCCATTCATAAGCAATACCATGTCTGGCTTAACTCTCTTTCACAGGTTTCAAAGGTTGATGCTACTCAGAGCTTTGCAGTCACCATGACTTAGTAATGGCTTTTTCAGTTTTTGTTCAGTAAGGCCAAATGCTGGTAAAAGTCCAGTGACCGATGTGCCTGACGCTGAAGCATACGCTGGAGTCACACTGCATGAGGTCTGCCTCCCTGGGAGCCGTATGAAAACAACCTGCTATCCCAGGTGCAAATATTTACTTAAATTTCCAGCTTGTTCTGTGAGCCTTGAGCCATGCAACTCCTATTAATGCAAGCTGAAGCCACGCATCCCGTGTAGATGTACGTGCACAGAGCTAGTGCAGGGGCTTCCAGAAGGTGGTAATTTGAAGATGCATGAGGAATCAAAATTAATGTACTTGTTAGACCAGCAGAGTCTGCCTGGACCTCTTCTACACTCCAGTATTTGACTTTAATTTAAATATACACCTTTCATTTGCTGAGATTGTGGGCTTTTCTGCAGCCCGTTGCAGGAACAGGGTTTCTGTTGGCCCGCGCTGGTTCGAGGACCACATACCATGAGCTGAACCACGGAGCCAACTTTCATCTGGAAAGGGAGGCTCTTCATATCTGCAGTAGCACACACCAGAGATCAAGTTCTCCTCTGGATAATAATAAAGGTTTGCCATACATTTACAGACTGATCTGGCAAATTGTAGTACTGCTCTTACCTAGGGAAGACTGTATTTTTTTCCAGTTTCTGGGATAAAAGCAGCCTGGCTTTTCTTTCTGTTCCTCTAGCAAGTTCCTGCTCTTACAGCAGTTCAGGTGAAAACAGCCACAGTTCAAACTGAGCTAGGGACATCCCACTTGTAAAGTTTTTGTAAAGACCCTGTCTTTTTTCATTGCTTTGTGGAAATTATACAAGAAGTTAGGTAAGCAAACATGTCTGTAATCCCGTGTATTTTACAATTGCAAACATGGCAGGGTTTATAGGGAGAAACAATACATTTTATTAGATTAACAAACATCATTGGAAAGAAGAGATGTGATTTGGGGCATATAAGTACTTTTCCAGGTCTGAAAGAGAAGCAGCTATGTCCAGATGAAGAACAGCCAAGCTGAGGCAGTAGTTTCACAAGCGCTTCTTTTGTAGACAGCCCAGTAAAAACAGTTAAAAGATTTCTGTAAACCCAGTTATATTTTGCCATCTGGCTCAGCCCCTCAGACAACTGAACCAGCACAGCCACGCTGAGCACGTGGGAACGGGCAGTGAGGGACCAGCGGAGATGAAGGCATGTTTGGAGGTTGCTGAAGTGCCTCTGCACGATCCCTAGAAGAAATGCTCACAAATTTTACCCTCTGTACATTGATGAATTACTTTATAGCAATGTTTATTTCTTGCAGGGAAGACAAGGGAGCGGTGTGAAGATACCAACCCTAGCGAACAGGAGTGGAAAATTGTTTTGTCTGTGGTGAGGTCAGGAATAAAGAAGACATGGTACAATCCTTCCATGACTAAACCTGAGGACAGTGACACAGTTTCAGTTGACCTGTGGGCCACGTGTGACTGAACCTAAATTTAAGACTGCCTAAGCCTGTTGGCAGGGGCTTTCAAAAGAATCCAAAAGTTAGATGCCCTCTTCTTTTTGAATTAGCTTCCTTTAAGGATAGATATCAAAAACCTCATGGAAACTGCAAATGCTAAGGCTACCACACCTGCTGGGAAATGCGTGGATTTTAGTTTTTTTTAAAAGATTAAAGCACTCTGCTCTCTCTTTCAAACCTATTCTCAGATTTCACACGAGACAACCTTCTCACTGTACAGCACTAACACTCTGTTATACATACTGGGGGGGTACTGTGCAGAGCTGCAGGCTGAACCATTCTTCAGAATAAGCGGATGTGGCCTTCTGGCTGTAGCACTGAATGAGGATTCGGGAAGCCAGCCTGTGGTTCCTGACTGCAGTCCAAATGTCTTGTGTGCTTCAGGTCACCATTTAAAAACTCATCATAAAATCTCCCCCATGTTTAGGATATTGGGAAACATGTAGCTATGAAGGAGACGGAGGTATAAGTGGATTAAAAATTAAAGAGAAAAATAAAAAAAAAAACCACCCAGAAGGAAAAGCCACTAAATCTCAAGTAAAACTCATCCAGTCTAAAAACAAAGGAAATGTACAAAGTAAATGTCAGAGTAAGCACAACTAATGCTAGGCCTAGACTGCCTGTTGATTTAGGATACCCCCCCCAAAGTTAAAAAAAAAAAATCCACATGAATGCTCCATAAAACAAGAGATAATTTATTTCTAGTTGAAGCCTTTCCCGTTCACACGGGCATGGACTGCTGACACACAATGTCATAAACTACCAGCTGCAGTTCTGGGGAATGATACAGTGTCCATACTTTCTCTTCCACCCTTCACAGAAAACGCTTGCTGAAGATGTGCCAGCAGTTCAGATGCAATCCGAGCAGCAGCAGACTCGCACTGCTTGCCAGCTTGCAAACACAGCAGACTGTCAGACCATTATCTTTATTTCAGCTGGCCAAATAAATCAGAACTAGACACCGGGGGGTAAATTTCCAGCACTGTGTGTAATGGGTTTAAAGTCAGAATGTCCACGACCGTTAACCACAGTTGAATGTCTAACTCACTGAGCTTGCTGCTGAAAGTTTACTCCTACAATAAACAGCAACAGCCTAATCCTGCAGCCGTTTACTCAGCAAAATCCCCACTGGTTTTAGTAGGAGCTGCGCCTAAGGGAGTCTTCAGCGCCTGGCACATTACAGACAGAAGAAGGTAAGTGAAACTTTACGCAGGCGGCATATGTTTGGTTCATACATCACCTAGCACATCGCTTCCTTCCACAAACGGCAACTTTGCCTTTGTCACTGAAGCAAACACAAATTTCTCTTGTTCCAGATCCTCATCACCTCTTCTACCATAGCCAGAAAAAATGTCCACATAGCCAAAAGGTAAGTCAGTCTCCTTCTTTGGAGCTCATTATCTGAGTATCCTGTAAATCGTGTCCTGCTACCTTAGTTTTATGCCCTCATAAAGTGTTAGATAATTCTACTCCACTGCTGTCTGTTTGGGCTCTTTAAGGCTCTTCAGTAGCTCAGATGTTCTCCTGGGCAAATCAAGTGTGTTCGCTACAACTGCCACGGTGTTTAGCACTACAGTTACTGCTGCCAGAAATGCTTTTTCACTGTATAATAAATTTGAGCTGGTGTCATGCCTTGTCCTCCAGTAGTATTTTTCAACTTAGCCTGAAATTCACCAATATAGCAGTATTCCTGGAAGTTCTTAATCTTGCAGATTGTCCAAACAATGGTTATTCTACAACTGGTATTTCAGTAGGGATAGATAGAACAGAGCTCAAAATCCCTGCCCCTCTTCCATCCCTTTTTTTTCCCCATCCACACATGTCCTGGTAGAATCCATTCATTAGAACAGAGTCTTCATAGGAGTGTAAGTGGGATTTTTGCCTAATTCAGATCAACTAAATAATGCTTCAGCCAGGTCTGCTGTAGAGTACATCTGTACAAAGACTGAGTAATCTTCCAAAGCCATAGAATCATGGAATGGTTTGGGTTGGAAAGGACCTTTAAAGATCATCTAGTCCAACGCCCCCGCCAGTGCCCAGTGACCTGACTCCCTCCCAGGCCCTATTTTATTTAGCACTGTAGACAGAAACTTAAGCACTGGCAGTGCTGGATCTCTCTCTCCCTCTCTCTCTCTCCCTACCTCCCCCCCCACTTACATACAGGATGGGAGAGGTCGAGGTTCTTTTCTTCAAATTTGCACATCAGAGAGTATGATATGATTTCCTGAGACTGTGTAGAATCGATTAATGCTCCAGGCAAAGCCACTGACTTTTAAACTATATAGATCAGGATAAAGTCTAGCCTATTATTGGATGTTATAATGAAGACTAAGCCAGACTGTAAAGCTAACTTTAAACAGGAGAGTTTAAATTCTGAGAAATAAATACTCTAAAAATTTGTTGTGTTCTAAAATCCGAGGCCCTGGGCACGTACCCGGCCTGTGCCAATGCTGTAGGCATACCTTTTGTTGGAGGTGACGGGTATCCTCCAGCCTTTGATCTGGCTAAGCTCTGTATCAGAGATCTCAATCTGCAGCGGGAGCCGTGGAACCCAGACCGTCACTTCTAATTGGGTGGTAAAATGCTGGTAAGTGAAGTTAACAATAGTATCCACTTTGCTTTTCATTTCCTTGCCATTAACGAAGATGGAGTCACATCTGTCAGAAACCTTAAAAAAAAAAAAATATATTAATTAGGAAATGAATAAAAGTTCCTGGGAAAGCATGAGGAGTGATGCACCAGTCCAAAGACAACACTGATAATGTGAGTCATGCATATCGTATCTTCAGTTCTTTAATTAGTGGCAAACAGTGATAAATGGACCCCAGGGAAACAGTTCTGCTTTCCTCAATGGATACTACTCGAACTACAAAAATAATTTAATGATGTTATATAACCTATGTGAATCTTTTATACTAGGCAAATTAAACTCTTCATGAATCAAACTCCATGTGCATCAAAGTTTATGTTTACAACTTGCTTAAAGAACCTGGAGAAAACAGGGCCATATGTTAGTAAGAAAAAGACTGACTCAGAACCATAAAACAGAATCCTTTCCTTTTTCCTTGAGCACTGTAATGCTGAAAGACAAAGATCCCCTGATGGCTCATGAGCAGAAGTGCAGCAGAAGCATTAATTTTTAGAACTTCTCAGTAATTGTTTTAGCAAAATGTATTCATAGTTGCTCTGTGTCATTATACAAAGTTACTGCCAAAACGAGCACGTGGGCTCCGTACTACAACTCATCCACCCTCTTGGTCTCGGGGATTCTTTGGCACAAAATCAAGGTCCTGAGCACAGATCCTATTTATAGAAAGAACATGATGTAACAGCGCATCTGACCTCATCCTGGAAAGATGGAACTCCTCTTCATGAGGTACGGGCTTTTAATGTATTTATGAATGTGTGCATGTATACTTTTAGATTCTGTATTTAGATTAATGTATAACGTGATTATATATATGTACCTGCATATGTGCATATATATGTATGTATATACAGGTTTGCATTCTGCTTTGAAGCGACAAGAGGTGATGGTCTCCAGCAGAGTCCATGTACTGTGGTTTTAATCTTTTAAAACCATGGCTTATGAGATGTAGTTGTGTTACGGAAATGGACTTTGTTCTCCTGTCAGGACTGGTCTGTGTCATGTTGTATAATGCACCGGGATGCAGATCTGAAGGGATTCTGGCTAAGCCAGTGATTAAATTCTGGTTTACTGGAGTTACTGAGATAACTCTTGAAGACTTCAGTGGGGAATATGCTGAAACACAGGGTGGTTTTGCTCTGCGAATGTACTTCAAATCTTTTCTGATATTAAGAGGAATTAGGGGTTACTGAGCCAAGAAAAATGACATAAAGTGTGTAGCAGCCTTTTTTTTTTTTTTTTTTTGCCAAAGACAGTCCTCACTTCCGACTTTGAAATTGTTTGTCCTGCTTTGAATCTCATATGCAATAACATCATTTTTCTCTTGAGCTCTAAGGTAGCATATTGCTGTTAGATGGGCAGTACCTGCGTTCTGCCATCATGTGGAGAACATTTACATAACAAAATTTTGCCTAAATGGCTCTCGTAACGCTTTTAAGATTTATAGGCAACTTGCTTAAGAATCAGCTACTTCAGAAGCCAAAGAATACAAGCAACCTTTATGCAGGTCGTTGTGACAAGTTTTACTTAGAGAATTATTGTGATGCCATTGAAAATTATAGCAACTCTCAAGCCAAGCACCGAAGGAGAAATGTTTGGGAAACACTGTGCCAGTTGATCTGTTGGTACATATCCACTGAACAGGGACCATCAAATGACCGTTTCACACCTAGTGAGACCACACGGCCAAACTTGTCAGACTGTCCCTTTTGTAGCATCACTGTGCCGCTACTGTCATTCTTCTGTACTGCTTATTATCAGGTAATAGCTTTGCTAAAAATATTGTCAAGTGCCTTGAGATTCTTGTTAGAAAAGCTCACTGTCTGATGTTTTTCTCTCCATATCCAATACCCATATATAAAGTAAGTAAAAAGGGTGCACTTCCATGTTTGCCATTTTCAAGTCAGCTTCTCAGATCCTAATCAATGTACTGAAATGACAATTGCGTTTTTACAAAGGGACTCAGCCAGGTTGTGAGGAATGGGACAAAGGAAACAAAGTCACTCTTCTGGAGAGAATACTCCTTCCATATAAATGCTTAATGAGTACAAGAATTTGAAACAAATAAAAATCTAGCTATCTGATAAAGAAAGAGCTTAAAATGAACTCCAGGCTCAGGTGTACCATGGATGAGATGGAGCGTACTCAGAATCTTTGTTTCCCCCCATAATGTGTCACAAGTGTCTCTGGAAGGTTTAAGCACATTAATCAAGCCCATTAATTGAATGAGCAGTTGAGATTCTAAAACATAAAGCCTACATCTAGGGAGTTTTATGAGAATTAATACAAGACAGAAATAATTAAGAAAACTCAAAGAGGGAGGGATAAACATCAAGACTGGATCGGGGGAATAACTAATATCTGACGTGACAGCGGCTAATATTTTAGATTCTGTTCTTGCTGCTTAAAATGTTCTTGTCTTGTCAGCAGGCAAGAAAGGTGGTAAATTAGGGAACTGAAAGATGGACTTTAATTGTAGCTGTAAAAATATCAGGCTAGGCTTACAAATTTCATAGATTATATGTCTAGACAGAGACATTCAGTCATTTATATACTGACCAAGAGGTAAGTATAAATCAGGATATATAACTGTGCTATAGAAGTTCACCCAGTGGCCTTGCAGAATTCAGAGCTCATGTTTCACTGAAGTGTATCATCTTCCAAAAGATAATCCAGCCTTGATAAGAAAAGTTGAAGAGAGACGTGTTGTTTCACTTCTCTGGATGGAATTTCAGTTTACTTATTAGGTACAAGCAAACCACAGCATTAGAGAAAAATTAAGTTTGTGCAAGTCAGGGTGAAAAGCAAAGCAGTCAGCTGAATCCAACTGAATTCTGTGACAAAGTATGTGAAACCATGACCACTGTTAACCATTTGGGCTAGACTGAAGTTCACCTGAGGAAGCCTCTGTTACACTCACATGCATTTCATTACCGCCATGTTCCATTCACTACTCCTTAGAGCAGCTGTCACGGAAAATGGATTTGGTTCATGTGAAGGAAAGGAGAACCTTGAGCCTGTACAGAAAATGCCCAGCACTCCTATTTCACTTGGGATCTACTACAGACCCAGGACAAAGAATTAACTTCATCCAGGTCTCAGATGAGAGCTGTGATTTCATGCTAACAGCACTCTGACACTCCTCCAAAGTGAAGAGGGAATGAGAAACACACGTTGAGCATTGGGACCTGGCGACAGCTGTATTCTCTGGCCAACGGCTGACATCAAATGTTCCCCTTCGCTTTCTCCCCTTTTAAGTCTGCTCCATACTTTTCTAAGTCACACTGACTTCCAGAAGTGGTTTGTGACGCTGCTGGGAGGGGAACTTGTAGGACCTGCTGCTGGAGTTCGGGGAGTGCGTGCCTGTTTACATCAGAAAGCGCTCAGGTTCGCCGCGGGGCAAGCTCTGACGCAGCAGGGAGACACCAGCAGAGTTACATTAGCGCGTGACTTAATGCACGGGTTTCCTTAGAGCTGCTGGTTCTGAGGGAACAAAGAGGGAAATGCAGTTAAATCTTCCCTGGAAACACTACACAGTGAGAAGTCACAGCAAAAGCTTAGAACGCCACCTTCTCATCTAAAATGCACAGAGCAAGCCTGTTTCAAACGGTCTGTCACCATCCATTACCAGCTGCCTGACAAAACCAGAAAGTGCTGTGTGAGACAGTTTGCAACCAGGAGGGCAGGACAGCCGGCGATGTGCTCTGGTCTGCAGGTCAAGAGAAAGAGAGCTGCAATTAACCTCTCCGGGCTTTGAAGCAGGTGGTTGGCTCCAATCCCCACAAGTAATTGTAAAAAGCACAATTTGCCCTGTACAGCCTGTCACAGCCTCCTCATTTTAGACTAATCCAGTGCAAAAGTAGCCAACAGTCCAAAAGAGCAATTGGGAAACCATTCGATGTTCGGGTCAGCACAGGTTTACACACCCTTTGGGTGAACAGGTAAAAGAGAGGGAATGTGAGCTGACAAGAAAACAAATAATGCGTGGTGCATCTGTACGGGCAGGTTTGATTCCAAAGCTCACACCTTCCCCTCAGCTTGCAGGTCACTTTGTACGGGGACTGAATGAGACAGATCTAACAGAAAACAGTCGCAATCTTTGTGGCTGTTATCCACTCCGGAGTTGTTTGGTTAAACAAGACTGTGCTGCTGGAAGCCTGCTCGGCACAACCACTCTTTTCCCCAGTGCATGCTGGTGTTGGAGGGGAGCGCAAGATGGCGCCAGGAGGGGCCGACTGCCCGGGCCTCTCCAGTCAGCGGCACTCCAGGGCTTTCCCAGCCCATACCTCATCTCCACGTTCATCTTTTTTCACCTTCAGATGTACACTTCTCACTGATACGTACATGAATGGTGTGTGCACACACAGCTGGGTATGAACACGTATAATGGATTTTAAAGGATTTAAACTACTACCCAAAGGAATAACTTCTGTTTAATTCGGTATGAAGCAACGGTGACTAAATGGATGTAAGAGCGGTACCATATACAATGCCAAACTGTCCCGTGGATTTTTGACACGTGAAGCCCAAGAAGATGGTGGTATTTTAAGACCCGTTTATAGAAGAGGGAGCTGAGGCACATGCAATGTGTATCAGATTGGGTCTAAGACACAGTCGTTTCAGCTGAGAGCTATAGCCATTTGGTTATCCAGTCAGGTCCCCAAATGATTTAAATTCGAAGGTCAAATTCACCCCTGAAAAGAGGCCCTTTTTACACTTTTACATTCAAAAGAGCCTTCACCAGTACTTCAGCAGAATTGGCCTTTACAAGAGGAGGTCAAGATCCCATGGAGCCAAGACCTACTGGTATTTAAAAATACTTAAGTTTAATGGGACAGATGTGCAGATTTCATCAGTTTTGTAGCCCTGTTTTTTCAACAGCAAACCTCCCAACCATCCGTCTCTGGAACCGTATTCCAATCCCTATTTCTGATGTCCAGCCCAGGAGGCAGAGCCCGAAGGTGGCACGGCTCAGCCACTGGGGTGCTCTGCAGACAGGCCCACCCACCACCGGCCTCGGG